CGCCGCCGCTGCGGCCGCCGCCGCCGCCGGGCCAGCCTCCAGGTCGCCGTGGAAGAAGGCGATACACCAGAAGAGGAGGCCAAAGAAGAGCCAGGGGCGCCCCCTGCCGCCGCCGCCGCCGCCGCCGCTGCGGCCGCCGCTGCCGCCGGGCCAGCCTCCAGGTCGCCGTGGAAGAAGGCGATACACCAGAAGAGGAGGCCAAAGAAGAGCCAGGAGACCAGGAAGGCGGCGGAGAAGATCATGAGCATGTAGCGCCAGCGCGTGTCCACGCAGGTGGTGAAAATGTCCGCCATGTAGCGCTGCGACTTGTTGCTCAGGTTGGCGAAGTAGACGTTGCATTGGCCGTTCTTCTTGACGAAGCGGTTGCGGCGTTTCCGCCGGGGCACGTGGGCCTGCCCGTTGCGGCTGTGCCCGTGCATGTCCTGAAGCCGGCGTGGTCACCTGGGAAGACGCAGGGCCTGGGGAGGGGAAGCCCGACAGGTGAGATGCTGGCGGCCCGGGAAGCCCCCCTCTTCCCCCCGCCAGAGGCTCAGAAGGGGAAGAGCCTGGCCTAGGACCCAGGACCTCCTCGAGCCCCGCAGGCAGAATGTGGCGGGGAAGGGGCTTCTGGGGTCCGGGAGGGAGTGTGGGGGCCTGAGCCAGTGCCTCCAAGGACCAGAAGCTGAGGCCACCAGGACGGCCCTGGTGCTGGCCACCTGCGGCCCTCCTTGGCCCCCACCCCGTCCGGGGAGCTTCCTGGCTTGGCTCCACCATCTGTCCCCCTTGCCCTGAGCAGAGGGAGCTGTGAGCACTCTGGCCCCTGCTCACCTCCTGGGTTCAGCCTCTGCCCTCTTGGCTCTGTCTGGGGCTGGACATCCTCCCAAGCTGGCCCGAAGAGCAGCCAATGGCCCCCCGTGGCTTTGTACATTTACTTAAGATTAAATACAGTTTTAACTGCACTTCCCCATATTTCAAGTGCTCAGTAGCCACTTGCGGCTAACAGCTGCCATGACCAGACGGAGTCGATATAGAACATTTGCCTCATTGCAGAAAGTCCTACCAGACTGCGCTGGGACCCGAGACCCCATGTCGGTTCCTGTCCTGTCCCCAGACCTGCTGGGAACAGAAGTGGGTGAAGACACCAGTGGTGGTGGTCAAGATGGAGGAAGGGGGAGCCCCAAGCTTTGGCTCCTATGTAGACATTGCTAGTCCCATGTCACAGGTGAGGGAGCAGGGCTCAGAGAGGGGGAGTGACCTGCCCAAGGCCACACAGCTGTTGAGTAAATCCAAACTCAGGTGTGTCTAACCTTCAGCCCCCCCCAGGTGCTGTCAACCTCCATGAGCTCACGGGTCCGGAGGCAGGGAGGCAGACACACCCACTGCCTCGCTGTGACACCTCGGAAAACTCATTTCCCCTCACCTGTAAAATGGAGATCAAAAGCCTACCTCACAGGACCCGAGGAGGTCGTGGGTGCTTTGGTTAAAGCCAGTCACCCTCCTGCCTGCCTTCCCGAGTCTCCAGAGCAGGAGGACGCGGGCAAGAGGCAGGATTTGCCTGTCAGCCTCCTCAGCTGTGATTCAGTGGAGGCGGCCCTCACCCCGCCGGGGCGGCAGAAGCACCAGCCGGGCCCCTGGAGGGCAGACCCTCCCTCCACCCCTCCCTTCCGCCGGGGCCCCAGGAGAGAGAGGGTGCTGCCCGGGGCCCCAGCTCCTGGCAGGGCTGGGCCTGGGCCTGGGCTCCCGGTAACGTTTTGGCCCAGAATTATATAAGGCTGGAAGTTTCTATTTTCTGTTCTATTCTTCTTCCTGATCTAATTGTGCATCTGTGGCAATGTTTATACACTTCCCCGTTCAGGACAACTCGGTTGCCGGAGCAACCGGTGCGCGCCAACGCTGTAATTTAGAGATCAACAGCCTGGTGCCTGCCTGCGCCTCTTCCTGGGAGAAACTCCCTCCCTCAGCCGGCCGGGCCTGGGGAGAGTGAGCCCTGCCCCCCACCTCCCCCGCGATCACCCCCCATTCTGGGTTCTTCTCCCTTCCCAGCCTTTGCTCCCTGGATCATCCACCACGTAACATGGGGGGCAAGTTACTTGGCTGCTGCGAGCCTCAGTTTCTTCATCTGGAAAATAGGACCAGTGAGACCCATCGGTCTGAAGATCTAACAATGTGGGTGTGCAATGCTGGCCCTTAAGAGGTCATAACTTTAGCTGGGAGTCCCAGACCCTGTCTGCCACCTCCCCCAGAGGCCTAACAGCCAGGGCTCCAGGTGGGAGCCCTGAAGAAATTGGGGGCCAGGGGCACCTTCTAGGTTTTAGGGAGGTCATCCTTCACTAAGCGTCTCCCTCTCTGCTCTGTCCCGCTGTCTTGAATGCCTCCAGGAGCGCCACAGAAGGAACCAGAGCCAGAAGGAACTGGAAATCACTGATTTCAAGACCCTCATTTTATATCTGAGGCCCAGGAAGCACAGACCTGGGATGGATTGGCTAAGGGTCCCAGATGGAGGCAGAGTGGACCAGCCTGAGCCGGGGCTCCTCATTCCCACTCCAGAGCCCTTGGGAGGTGAAGGTGCTCCTGGAAAGAGGAGCCTCCTCCCTGGAGTGCTTGGGGCAGGGTTTGCTGCAGGAGAAGGCTCTTTATGGGGCTCCCACTCTCTAGGAGGGCCCAGGGCTGAGCGTAAGGGAGATGGTCCCCGCGTGCTCTAGGCTGCCGGTCCTCACTCACCAGCACGGCCCACTTTTCCCTGGTCCTGAGTGCGAGTGGCAGGATCAGCCCGGCCCCAGGATCCAGGGTCAGCCCTGAGGCTCCGCATGTCCCCACCCGACACTCCCCCAGCCCCTGCTTTTCCATCACCCCATCCGCACCAGCCTCACATCTCAGCCCAGTGGGGGCACAGCTTGTCCTGCACCCCTGCGTCTCCTCTCCTGGTCATAGCAGTGTCCTCAAGCCCCTGCAAAGTTCCACGCCCTGTGCCCACGGCTCTGCTCTGCCATGTTCAGCCATGCTCGGAAATGTCTGCTCCTGGGCCTATGGGAAGGCCGCCCCAGACCCATCACCCTCCGCCACGGAGGAGCCTGTGTGCCGCCTGTCCCCCTGGGGACCCTCGGTTGGTGAGGGCCCTGTCTGCAGGGACCCGTTCAAATAAGTGAGCGCTCCTGTCCCTGCTGACTCCTTCGGAGTCAGCGTGGGCTGACCCACATGATGCCCGACCGAAAGGTGAAAAGTCTGAAGCTTGGCCTCGTGCTTGCATGGGACAGCCACCTGGGAGACAGCCAGGTTTTCTGTCCCTTGTTTGTCACACGAGGCTTCCTGGCAAAGGCCCAAGGGCCCAAGGGGTACGTGCGCAAGAGAAGGGGCACAGATGGTGCAAGAAGGCAAGAGGCATTGACAACTGGGTATCACCCTCCTCTGAATATAGATGTGCTTTTGGAGAGAGCGTGTCCCGTGGATCGTGTCTACAGTGAAACCATACTTTTCCAGAAGGCAGGGAGCTGGTGTTCATTCTCTTGCAACAAGTGTGCCGGGAAATGAACACACATGGGAGAACTCGGTTTCAGCACGTTTCCTACGGTGGAGGCTCCGGGAGGCCGGGCCCCCCTCCCTGCCTTGCGGGGTGACTTTGGACAAGTCCTTCTCCTTCCGGGCCAGCTTCCTGGGCCGGTTGCTACCCTTGACCCTGAGTGCATCCTGAGACTCCTTTCATGGTCAACATTCTTTCTTCAGGGAAATGAAAGGGATGGGAGATGCCGGCTGCTTTTAAAAACATAATGTCCTTTCTTGGCAAAGTGAAGGATTGAGATGCTGTGCCAGTTACCAAACTTTTTCTTTTCCTTTAATTTTACGGTGCTGTCAACATCCCAAATCTGGAGCCCCTAGTCCAGACTTCCCTGGACAACTAGAGAAACTGAGGCCAAGAGCAGGGCTGTGGCACAGGGAGGCAGTGGCTAGCCAAGGACATTCTGGCCTCGGGGAGCTGGTGAAGGTGACCAGCAGGGCTGTCAACTCGTTGGCACCATTGCTAGCCTGCTCCTCCTGGGTGACGGCTGGACGCCCGGCCTGCCATGGGTCCAGAGGAGGCAGGAGAAACACCCCACGCCTGTCACTAGGTTTTCCCTCTGATTTTATGACCCACAACTCCCTTTGCCAAAGAAAAGCTGATAAAGGGACAGCAGCCCCAGGGGGACTCCAGCAACCCCGGCCGACTGTGAGGACAAATCTCCCAGTGTGCACCCACCCCCAGCACGGGAGAATCGCTGGTGGCTGCAGGGGCACGTCACCCTGGCCCCCAGCCCGCAGCAGCAGCCCTTCCTGAGACAGGGACCAGGCAGGCTCTCTAGAGAGCAGGAGGAGGGGGACGCTTAGCAACACTGCAGGGCCTTGATGCATGTTGTTGTTACTGGATGGGACAATAGGGGAGGTGATGTGAGTTGCCCGAGGTCACATTCCTCAGCCCTGGGGCCCCGCTGAAACTGTCGTCCTCTCAGTGGCTGCTCTCAGGGAAGGAACCTTCTGGAAGTGTCAGCTCCCTGCCTGATCTATCTCCCTGAAGCGTCACTGCAAGGCTTTGTTTATTTAACAAGTATTTATTAAGCACCAACCGCAGCAACAAGCAGGGTTATTATTTCTCTTCCCAGCTGAAGAATCACAGGCTGGGGGGTGGGGGGAGTAGGGACGAGGATGGGGGTCGCCCAGCAGAAGCAGCAAAGCTGGGATTCCCACTCAGGTCTGGCTGGCTCCAGCTCCCCGGCTCACCCTGGTCCCCCAGTCTCCGGCTTCGGGCTCCCTTCGCCTTCCACAACGCCCCGCTCAAGGCGGATCCCTCGTGTCTCTCCGCAGCCCCCCAGGCCCAGCCCCAGCCCCTCCAGTCTCTGAATCTTCCCAGGCTGCCTTGCCAGCCGCAGCCCTGCCTCCTCTGAGCCCCTTGGCTCTCACTGCCTGTCTGCTCCACTCGGCTCCTTCTTGACTTTAGGAAAAGAACATGCTGGCTGAGCCCTTGTGTTTGGCCGGCAAGACCTGGCTCTCAGGCTCAGCTCTGTCACCTCCTAGCGTGTCCTCTTTGGACCTCAGTTTCCTCGTCTGCAAAGTGGACATGACAGCGATAGTACCTACCTCACCAGACCCCTGATGAGGCGAGTGTGATAACCACTAGGAACAGAAACGCGGGCCGGGGGCTCCACAGGGCCTTGCAGGTGGAATGCACGGAACATGCAGATGATGCTGGTGGTGGTGATCGTGGTGATGAGGAGGGGGAGGAGGAGGAATACGACACAGGACAGGGGACTGGGGGCCGGGAAACCCAGCATCAGGTCCCGGCTTCACTAACTGCTCCAGCCAGGTGCTCCTTCTCTCCATCTGCAAAACGGGGGACCATATTTGCTCCCTGGCAGGAGAGCGGGAAGATGTAAGAAACAAGGCGCCCAGCACAGAGTCTGAAATAAGGCAG